CACGAAGTGCCCGAGAAGCCCGAAAAATTTATCTTTTCGGTTTTGAAGCCCGACCCTCGCAGAGCCCGGTTTCTCAATAAAACTCTCGGTTTTATTAGAAACGAACGTTTTAGGAAACGAATTGCTGCCCGATTTTCATCAAATCAAGTGAGTGTATAGTCACCTTCATCTTACACCTAGATATGAAGTATTTTCTATAAAATACGTGCTACGTGTAATTATATTAATTGTTTAATTGAGGTGACTGTTGAATAGATGTTTTATACAAGTTTTAAACTGTATATGTATTTTTATCTACAAATATGTTGGGTAAAACATGGGTAGATAGTTGGTGTGTGATGAAATAAAATGATGAGAGGCCTCGATGTGATTGTGATCCAGTCATCTAGCGGAGTTTGGATGCCGACCACGGACTTTTCTAGACAGTCCAGTGGAACGCTAGCAGGCCCGCAACCTGTAGGTGTTAATGAACTTGGGTGTTCATTCGCTGTACTCCATCCCCCTCATGGTTGCCTTTAGGACATGTATGGCTGAGGAAACCCCTTAGCAGTGGTGTCCATCCCGATGATATTCTTTAGGCTAGGTCCCTTGTGATAAGTGTTTAGGTACGTAAAGTGAGGATAACGGGAACGGGTAATCAGGGTTATTTTGATTGATGAACTTAATAAGTTTATTATTATTGTGGGTTGAAAACCCTATATGCTCACCAGGCTCCCAAGCCTGACCCACTCAGCTTTTTATGTTACAGGTAGTGGACCCCGAGCATAGTCGGAGGACGATGAGAGATTTTTGGATTATAGGCCAGTAGTTGTAAATAACTATTGAAAGGCTTATAATGTCTTGTTTATGCTTTTGATCTGTATCGGAACATGACATCCCGAGGTTTTGATATGAAATGAAATTATATATTTCTTAAAGAAAGGTTTTGACAAACTTTTATCATATTTTGTATTGGGGACCAATTCCGCAATATCTTTTAAAAAAGATTTCTCTGATTTTATTTTAAAAAGCATAAATTAAATCGGTCTTTTCTGGCCGAGAAATTAGGGGATGTCACAATAAATTTAGTCAAGTGTCGTTCATCTACTCTCCGTATAAGAAAGTCAACCACAAATCTCAAAGCTTTATTTTTATGTTAAATTGCATTATTAATTTTTATACATTGTATAGTGTAGGGTCCTATTTGTAACTTTTGTATCTATATAGTGATGGAAAATACATAAACCCTAACCGGTATTTTCACTAATTATCATGATATCACAGCCGTTAATATCTCTATCATTGTTCTTGGTCGTCGACTTCATCAAAGCCTCCTACCTTCTCTGATTTATTCAAGTTTTTTTTTTCTTTTTGCTGGCAAATCATATCGTCGGTGTTTTCTAAAGCTAACCATCATCTTTATTGGTGGTCAACTTTAGTGGCTTTAAGGCTTTAGTGATACACGATCCTGCATGTTTTTAAGCATCTCCGCTGCTCTCTACAAGTCCTAGAATTACACTAGTTTTGATGCTACAATCCCTCTACCAAAGGTTAGTATCTTGACTTTTGTTTTGATCTTTTTTTCAAGTATTTTTTCTGTTTTTTTATCCGGGTTCATGTCGTCCCCCGCTCAAACCTCCAACTCCATGCCGGCTGCCCATCAATTGGTCTATGTCGTCACCAACGTCTACCAACAGTTTAGCTTCAAACTTACCGTTGATGGTTCGAAGTACAAATTATGGCGTCGCATTTTTTTTGGATATTTGCAAAGGTGCTAAGGTTAGTGGCCACATTACAGGCAAATCTAAACCAAGCGGTGATGACGACGGGTGAAATCTTGGTTCTACTCTGCATGTGAACCGAACCTCCTTCAAATTGTCTCGAGTGATAATTGTACGGCAAAGGATTTATGGGACAAATTAGATGAGTTTTTCTTGAATAACAAGATGTCTCTAATGTTGCAACTTCAAGATCAATTTCGCAATACCAAGAAAGGTGCTTCTTCAATCACCGAATATTGTCATGCTCTCAAAAATATTGTCGATGCTTTTGTCGATGTCGACTCCACGATTAATGTAATTGAACTTGTTATGCAAATCCTCCGTCAATTCCCACCGTCATATCATAGCATCGTGAATGTAATTACTAACACAAAACCGTTCCCGTCTTTTTTTGGAAGCTAAGAATATGCTCCTCTTACATGAAGCCCATGAAGAAAACACCGACTCTACACTTGACTCGAGAAATTCTACTACATCGGCTTTATATTCCGTTTCAACTCAACCCGAAAAACAGAAAAATAAGTGGAATAAAGGTCGAAATAATGGTCGGGGTACTTCCAAAGGGGGGGGGGGGTAATTCTAGTTTTTCTACTAGTGCTAATTCTTTTGCAGGTACAAACTCTCAACAACAAACACAGTTTGCAGGAATTTTGGGGTCCAATCCCACTGCCTACAACAATTTCCCACCTCAACAAATTCCCATTGGAGCATCACACGTGAACTATTCTTCCCAGCAACAAGGATTGTCGCCGGCCCAACAGCAACTTGGCTCAATTACTACTTTCAGCCCAACAGGCCCAATGCTACCTTCATTTGGCGCTACTTCATTTGGACTTCACCCATGTGCAAACCAAGTGCCCCATATTACACATCCTACTCAACATCCCCAAGTGGGTTCTTTTTTTAATTCTTCGCAGATCAGGCCCCACGTCCATAGTGGTCCACAACAGCAACACAATAATTTTTTGGTGGATCTGTTCCGGCTAATCAACTAGCACATCAATTTACCGATCTCAGCTCCGTTTTTCAAGCAATGTCTGTTCAACCGCCACCGGATAACAACTATTACATGGACACTCACTACTAGAAAACATGGCGTTTTCCTACGGAAAATAGCTACGGAAAATTTTCGTAGCTAATTAGCTACGGAATCGCTACGGATCAGCTACAGAATGGGATGCCCTAGTTTAGTAACAGAATATCTACGGAATAGCTACGGAATAGCTACGGATGCGGGTCCGTAGCTATTATGTAGCTAATTAGCTACGGAATAGCTAATTAGCTACGGAATGGCTACGGAATACCTATGGATACTAATTACCTACGGATTAGCTACGGAGTATGCTTTCCGTTAGAATTCGGTAGCTAATCCGTAGCTAAGTAGCTACGGATTAGCTACAAATTTTTCTTATTTTTTCAATTTTTCGGGCTCCAAACGTCGTTTTTTTCGCTTTGTTTTTTTTCACACCTCTACTATACATGATTATCTATATTTTCACCGACTTGTAGCTATTAATACCGTTCATAAAGTCGTGTGCCCCTTCGGGATCAAGTACTCGTTTCACAGTTTAACATTGTAATGCATATACTTTTCACCAACTTATGATGGATTATGTTTGTATATGTATATTTATACACATGAATGAGTTCTGGTATATGTGTACGTGTATATGTGTATGTATACGTGTTTGTGAGATGTATGTGTACGTATTCATAAGCATTATAGTGTTAAACCATTAAACGAGTAATGGATCTCGTATGTACACACAACTTTATGAATGATATTAATAGCTATAAGTTGGTGAAAATATAGATAATCATGTATAATAGAGGTGTGAAAAAAATGGAGCGAAAAAAACGAAGTTTGGTGCCCGAAAAATCAAAAATAAGAAAATTCTATAGCCATCATCACCATCATCAGCATCACCATCACCACCATCATCACCATCATCACCATCACCACCATCATCACCATCATCACCATCATCAACATCATCATCACCATCATCACCATCACCACCATCACCACCATCACCATCATCACCATCATCATCACCATCACCATCATCATCATCATCATCATCACCACCACCACCACCATCATCATCATCACCACAACCATCATCATCATCATCATCATCATCGTCATCATCATCATCATCACCATCATCATCATCACCATCACCACCATCATCACCATCATCATCATCATCATCACCACCACCACCATCATCACCATCATCATCATCATCATCATCACCACCACCACCATCATCATCATCATCATCACCACCACCATCACCATCATCATCATCATCACCACAACCATCATCATCATCATCATCATCATCACCATCACACCACCATCATCATCACCACCATCACCATCATCACCATCATCATCATCATCATCACCATCACACCACCATCATCATCACCACCATCACCATCATCATCAGCATCATCACCACCACCACCACCACCACCACCACCATCACCACCATCACCATCATCATCACCACCATCATCATCACCACCATCACCATTATCATCTTGCATTACAAACTCGACAATGTAATCTAAGTTTGTTGCGTTAGCAGCTGCTGGAAAGGATTCACCTACGTGATTGTGAAGTGTAGCCGCATTTCAAGAGGTTGTGGACTTGACCTTAATACGATCATAGGAGGATTGGGACACACGACTTTATAATAGTGTCAAGTTGTATTTTTCTAGAAATTCGATAAACTAGTATGTATTTTACTTTCTGGTATTCAAATGGGTTGATGAGTTCAATTCTTAGAACACCCTGATTTGTTGGTGATTTTAGTGTCACCATGTCATTTTCAGTAACTGGAACTAACATGTAAGCTAAGGGGCTTCATAATTTGTACTCTAATATATGTAAGGGGTTGTGTAGAGTGCACACATGTATAAGATCGAATTAGAAGCCAGTTCGACGATTAGTCGGGGGTCCGGGGTTTCTAAAGGGGCAGCGCCCCTAGTGGGGTCCAAGGGGCAGAGCCCCTGGATGGAGTCCCGCTGCCAGGTCAGCGGGCGGGGTCGAGGGGCAGCACCCCCGCGGGGTTTGAGGCAGCTTTTGTATATGGATGTGGCATGCCCAGCCTCTTGGTTGAATCCTTGACATTGTACATATAGAATCCGAGTTCGAATCCTATGGCCCCCATTTTTTTGCGTTTTTCTAGTCCCCGTTTTTTTAGCCTCCCAAATACTTCTAGGTTTTGTTTACCCGCTTCCTTTTCCCCCAAATATTTTGAGGTTTTGTTTCCCTCCCGAATCCGGCCGCCTCCAATCTCCCACCTTTTCTTCTTCAACCTTTTCGTCTTCAGTTTCATCTGCAATCGACATCACCATTTTCGTCTTCAATTTCATCTGCAATCGACATCACCATCACCGCTTTAGCATCGCCACGGGTCGACCTTGATGTCACCGCTAAACGAACCTCGCAGTGAGTTTTCGATTTCTACTTCCTCAGTCGCATATCTCCTGCTCGATTTCTTCTCTGCTGCTGCTCGATTTCATCTCCAAGTAAAACCCTAGACTTATTTTATTTTATTTTTTGATATTTACTTCATGTATACAACAGCAATGTGAGTTTTTGATATCTAATGCTCGATTACTTCGTTTTTTTTTTCGATTTCTACTTCTCGATGACTTCATGCTCGATTTTTTTTTTCTTATGATGTGTTTGTTTCATAAGTTCATAGAATCTGAATTTCTATTTGTTAAAGTTGTGCTTCTTGTTTTACTTTGATTTGTATACCTCCATGCTCGATTTTTTCTTAACTGCTTAAGCCTTTTTCTGTTTCTACATTTTTCATGGAATTTTTCTTAATTATAATGTAGTTTATATATCTATATCAAATTTATCCCTGTGTAAAATGGTTCATTTATGAACATTATCATATAACCTCTTCCATGATTTATCTACTTATTAATATTATTATTTGGTTCTAAAGACAGGTTCAGGGAAAACTTTGGCATACTTGTTACAGATTTTTTCAGTAATAAACACACAAAGATCAGCTCTACAAGCATTGATTGTGGTTCCAACTAGGGAATTGGGCATCTTTTTCCTCCTTCCGAGTCATCTTTTTCCTATTTTGCCCCTTATGTTGCTTTGGTGAGATTCAATATTTATGGTGCCGATACATTCATTTCTGAAATAGATTTCTCACTTTTAATTTAGCGAATGAACATTTCCCATTTTAATTCTTACAAGATCTTTGTTGTTGTGATTGCAGGTGTTGATGGTGCTGTCAAAACACAATGACTTTCCTTTGGTTCCATTATTTAGTGATCACCTGGAAATACAGGTTGTTGCAACGAGTTGTATTGAAGGACTAAACAATCAGTCTTTCGAGAAGACTGAGGACGATATCAATGTTAACCTGGGATTGTGAGGAAAAGGCAAGGTAAATCCAAAAGTGTGAAATTTTGATAAATCTTGTCATTTAGAAGTAAGGGTATTATTGTCCATTTAATGTTTTGCATCTAAATATGTTATGTTTATTTTAAAGGCGGTGGTTGTAAGCATTGATCCTTGTAGACAATATTTGACAAGTGAAGATGAGGTTGGATTCAAGGCTATTAAACTAGAAAACCTGGGTGAGTAAGAGTAGAATTATCAATTATGTATTTTATGTTATACGATAAATTTGAATAACTTATAATTTTTTTGTTTTGTTAGGCCCAAATGAGGAAGAGTATGCCTTGTATCAGTGCACTGATGCACTGTAAGTGTTGTAAATAGCAACGCATTTTTCAGTTTGACGAAATTTTTTATTTTGTTGTATAGATGATGTTTATTGTAATGTTTATTTTTGGAAAATGATGTTTTTGTAATGTGTTAAACACTTAGTAATGTATTTGACATTTTGTAGTTTAATGTAATGAAATTTTATTTCATTTTGACCAAATTAATTGTTTTTTATTTAAAAAAATTATTGTTTTTTTTAGTTAAAAAACAATTAGCTACGGATTACCTACAGAAAATCCGTAGCTATTTACTTCCATAGCTATTCTGTAGCTATCCACTTCCGTAGCTATTCTGTAGCTATTAAATTCCGTAACTATTTTGTAAGAAATCCGTAGCTATTTATTTCCGTAGCTATTCCGTAGTTATGGTAGCTACGGAAAATGTCGTAGCTATTCTGTAGCTAATCCGTAGCTATAATTTTCCCACGGGCCATTATGTTACAGACATTTTTCCGTAGCTATCCGCTTATAGCTACGGAATAGCTACGGATTGTGCTGTAGCTATTGCACTGGTTTTCTAGTAGTGACTGGCGCAAGCTCTCATATGTCGTTTAACCAAGGTAATATGCCCTCCTTAACACCGTGTACTTCTAAATCTATAATGGTTGGTAATGGTGCTGTTTTACCGGTTACTCACATTGGTCACACAAAATTCTCTTCTCTAAAAAATAGTTTTGTTTTAAATGATGTTCTTGTCTCTCCTCATATGATTAAAAATCTTGTCTCTATTCGTAAGTTCACTATTGATAATTCTGTTTCTTTAACGTTTGACCCATTTGGTTTCTCTGTTAAGGATCTTGACACGGGCACTCTTCTTCAACGATGCAATAGTGTTGGAGATTTATACCCGCTCACTTTCGCTCGTGCTCCCTCCGACGTCTCTCTTGCCACCGTCTCGCTCCCTACGTGGCATCGCCGTCTTGGACACCCTGGATCGTCTGTTCTTTCTTTTTTACATTCTCGCAAATTTATTTCAAGTAGTTCTAATAAACTTGACACTTGCCATGCTTGCCAACTTGGGAAACATTGTCGTCTTTCGTTTAAATTATCTACTTCTAAGACATATAGTGTGTTTGAATTAATTCATTCGGATTTATGGACCTCCCCGGTTCCTAGGATTAGTGGTTTCAAATATTATATTCTTTTTTTGGATGATTTCTCTCATTTTTTGTGGGTTTTTCCTTTACGTACGAAATCTGAAGTGTATAGTGTTTTTTCTAATTTTCGTGTTTATGTCAAAAATCAGTTCAAAACCGACATCAAGGCATTTCAATGCGACAACGGTCGTGAGTTTAATAATCAACCTCTTCTTCAGCTCTTTCAAACTAATGGTATTCAAGTTTGTTTTTCTTGTCCCTACACCTCTCAGCAAAATGGAAAAGCTGAACGCTCAATCCGTACCATTAACAACATTGTTCACACCTTTTTATTACAAGCTTCCTTACCCATCAAATTTTGGGTTGAAGCTCTTCTCACTGCTGTCCATACTCTTAATCTCCTTCCTACCACTACTCTTTCATTTAAAATTCCATTTGACACCTTGTTTGGTTTCTTTCCGACTTATGACCATTTGCGTGTTTTCGGGTGCCTATGTTACCCAAATACATCTTCTACTGCCTCTCACAAACTTGCTCCTCGCTCTTCCGCTTATGTCTACCTCGGTCCATCTCCAGACCACAAAGGATATCGTTGTCTTGACCTAATCACTCAACGCATTATCATTTCTCGCCATGTCGTTTTTGATGAAGATCATTTTCCTTATACTAATTTTCAACCTTCCCCTTCCACATCCGATTAAGAATTGCTCATTCCTAATGATGATATTCCTCCAATTCTCTCTCCTTCCACTCCTTCTTCTCTTGTACCTCCGGTGGATACTTCCTCTCCCCCGAACTCCTCCTCCTCTGTCCCCTCTCCTCATGTCCAACCTTATGCTCCCTCTTCCAGCAACCATGGACATCCTATGATCACCCGTTCTCGTATTGGCTCTCTTAAACCTCGTCATCTTCTAAACTTATCCGCTTCGTCTATCTCTCTGATTCCCCGTTTAACCTCTCAGGCTCTTTGTGACCCAAATTGGAAATCTGCCATGGACTCTGAAATGGAAGCTCTTTAGTCTAATCATACGTGGGATCTCGTCTCTCCCCCTTGTTAAATCAATATTTTCTTTTGCACACTTTTTACAACTCCTTATTTCAGTAACCATCACATAGGGGAAACTGTTGGAAATATTTGGATGTGATTGTCACTTGAAATGAGTTGAGTACTGATTTACATTTTCTAACAAACATTATCAAAATTTTTCAGGTTGGAAAGATACTGAAGATTCAACAAGTGTTTGAAGAATCAGATGTTGGAGCACTTGAAGTGAACTTGGAGCAGTTGAAGTGAACTTGGAGCACTTGTTGTACACATGGAGCACTTGTTGACATGGATCACTTGAAGAAAGCTAGTTGGATCATCATGATCTCAGATGGCACATCTAGATCATATGTGGAGCATCAAGACATTGATGGATCATCTAGAATATTGATGGCTCATCAGAAACATTGTTGGCTCATCCACAACTCTATGGCTCAACAAGAGTTGATGACTCAACAGGAATAATTGGTGGCCCAACTCAAGTCAATGGATCAACATGATCACATTGATGACTCAACAAGACTGCACATGGCACATCATGTACAATGAAGGCACGTCCAAATGCTCAAAGGAACATGAATTTCGTCCATGGTCCATCATGAACATGTGGTGGTACATCTTCAAGTTCAAGACACAGTCCAACACTCAAGAAACAACTCAACATGATCAACAACACTTCTAGAAGTTGATGACATCTAAGAAGACAATTGAGCAACATGATGCTCATGTTGCTCATCACATTTTCAATGTTGATCAAGAAGGTTCAAGAATTATGAAGACTCATAACTTGACCCTAACGGAATACTAACGGAATTGGAATATTCCATCCATTCTATGTTAAGTAGGGCAAAGGTGTCAACTGATGACTAAGTCATGATGACGTGTCAACACCTGATTGGTCAAGCCATGTCATGGGATTTTCCAAAGCCTATAAATAGGCCCATTGGGATCCATTATAAAGTTTCTCTTTTCTGATCATTCATGCTCATTCTGCACAATTGCTGCTTAGACTAGTCTTCAGAGAGCCATTTGAGAGTTTTAGTGTGTTCTACATTCAAACACTTGTAATTGAATCTTCATGAATATGAGAAACATTTGAATCATTGATCTTGAACATTAAAAAAAGTTTTTTTATTAATTTGATTGATTCACAACTCTTTATTTTCCGCACTACTTGCCACTTGACGATTCTGAAACTCTGTTTCAGTATTTTCAACACTTGGACTATTCAAGTCTAGGCTTACTGAATTTCTTCTCAATTCTTCAGTTGGTATCAGAGCAACTGTTTTTCTTTTTCTTCACCTTGATGATTCACCCACCATCCGCTAATGTGTGATTTATCAACAAGATGCACTCCAAGATTTTAATCAACCATGAGTGAAGTATCCGTTGATGTGTTTGGGTCGACTTCAAAGGAAACAGAATGATGATAAGGAAGAGCCATCCAACATGTTTGGGATGATCAAAAGCATACAAAGACGAGAAGACATACCTGATCGAAGTAACCCGAGTGATTCCCCGATGATCAAAAGAGGATGCCCACTTATTCTGATTGAGGGATGATCAAACGATGATGTGCACTTGCTTGATGGATGATCAGAAGCAAAGATGTTCACCATGAGAGTTGAGTATTATGGCAACTGGAGATGCTCACTCGATCGATATGAATGATGTGCATTGGGTTTTGGTGTTCTCGGTGATCAGATGCATCGAAAAAAAAACTAATGTTGCACCCAGATCTAATCAAGGAAGGTGATGTTCACTTGGATTTTAGTTGCACACTTGGGGCTAAGATGGCTCGATGGAGAGGCTTCTATGGTTTTGATCAGGTTCACAGAGCGAGAATGGTACATTTGAACTATCAAAGCGTGATGCTTACAAATCGTGAACGGTGATGAAGTGGCCCACTTGGAATAGTACTTCGATGATCCAATGGGAGGGTGTTGTCGATGTTCAGTGCACCATGAGGGAAGTGATGCACCAAAAAGAAACAGGTGGGAGTTGTGCCAAATGGGATGTCGATTAAGGTTGCTCCAATACTAGGGTTAACTCACTCTCGGTTAGATATGGTGCAAAAGGAACATGGAGCAAGAAGGGATTTTGGTGCAAGTAGCATAAGTCGACTTAATTAGATGATGCTCAAGAGGTGTATGGTGCAAAAACAACAACAGAGAGTGGCGCAATAGAAAAGATTAACAAGGGTAATGGAGCAAGAGGGGGGTATTGTTGCGCCAAAGATATGATCGACTAGAGGATCTTGCGGCGCCAAAGATATGATCGACTAGAGTATCTTGCGCCAAGGAGCTTGTTGAGCCAAGAATTAAAAAAAAATTGAAAGCGCCAAAAAAATTGTTCCAAAAAAAAAAGAAACCAAATGCTCACAAAAAAAATCAAGATGATTACGATTTTTTTTAAGATGATCACGAAAAAAAAAGAGTTGGAGCAAGAGGGGTTTGTGGCGCAAAAAGGTAAGGCTCAAGAGGGTTTCGTTTTAACTTGTTGATCACGAGAAAAAAAGGTTGTGAGGATCAAGAGGTGTTGCGTTGATGAGGCAAGAAGGGAAAGATCAAGAAGATTTAGGTTTTTGCTTGATCACGAAGATACTTGTGGCTCAAGAGAGAAAAGGCGCAATTAGGGTTTGTGGGTCAAGAGGAGTTGCGAAATTTGGAATGGCTCAAGAGGGTATTAGATGGATCAAGAAGATATCCTTGGTTTTGCTTGATGATCAAGAGGGGGTTGTTGAGGGTCAATAAGGGTTTCGAAAAAAAAGGATGCTCAAGAAGGATTTCGAAATTACTTGATGGATCAATAGGGGTTTCGAAATTACTTGATGGCTCAAGAGAGGTTTCGAAATTACTTGATGACTCAAGAGGGGTTTCGTTTTTATTGATGGCTCAATAGGGCACTCAAAATCCTTGTTGATCACGAATGGCTCAAGTGGGGATACAAAATCCT